TTAAGGAACCTCCATACTGTTCTCCATAGTGGCTGAACCAATTCACATTCCCACCAGCAGTGCAAGAGTGTTCCCTTTTCTCCACACCCTCTCCAGCATTTATTGTTTCTAGATTTTTTGATGATGGCCATTCTGACTGGTGTGAGATGATATCTCATTGTAGTTTTGATTTGCATTTCTCTAATGATTAATGATGTTGAGCATTCTTTCATGTGTTTGTTTCCAGTTTTCTTTTGATTTCCACTTGCATGGAATACCTTTTTCCATCTGTCCCTAGATCTGAAGTGGGTCTCTTGTAGAGAGCATATATATGGGTCTTGTTTTTGTATCCATTCATCCAATCTATGTCTTTTGATTGGAGCATTTATTCCATTTACATCTAAGGTAATTACCAATATGTATGTTAATTGTTTTGGGATTGTTTTTGTAGGTCTTTTTTCTTCCCTTCCTATTTTGTTTTCTTGTGGTTTGATGACTATCTTTAGTGTTCTCTTTGGATTCCGTGTGTGTGTGTGTGTGTGTGTGTGTGTGTGTGTGTGTGTGTGTGTGTGTGTATCTATTGTAGATTTTTGGTTTGCGGTTACCATGAGGTTTAGATATAGCAGTTTCTATATATACAAGATTGTTTTAAGTTGCTGGTATCTTAATTTCAAATGCATTTCCAATATCCTGCATTTGTACTGTCCTCATGATTGCTGGTTTTGATATCATATTTGTGTGTGGATGATTTCCTACCATTACTGTATGTTTGCCTTTACCAGTGAGCTTTCCCATTCATAATTTTCTTGTTTCTAGTTGGGGGCTTTTCTTTTCTGCCTAGAGAAGTTGCTTTAGCATTTGTTGTTAAGCTGGTTTGGTGTTACTGAATTCTCTTAGCTTTTCCTTGTCTGTAAAGCTTTTGATTTCTCCACTGAATCTGAATGAGAGCCTTGCTGGGTAGAGTATTCTTGGTTGTAGGTTTTTCCCTTGTATCACTTTAAATATGTCCTGCTACTCCCTTCTGGCCTGCACAGTTTCTGCTGAAAAATCAGCTGATAACCTTATGTGGATTCACTTGTATGTTATTTGTTGCTTTTCCCTTTTTGCTTTTAATGTTCTTTGTCTTTAAATTTTGTTAGTCTTGGCATGTTCCTCCTTGGGTTTATCCTGCCTGGGGCTCTCTGCTTCCTGGAATTGGGTGACTATTTTCTTTCCTATGGTCAGAAAGTTTTCAGCTATTACCTCTTCAAAGAATTTCTCAGGCCCTTTCTCTCTCTGTTTTCCTCTGGGACCCCTATAACGTGAATGTTGGTGCATTTAATGTTGTTCCAGAGGTCTCTTAAACTGTCCTCATTTCTTTTCATTCTTTTTTCTTCTGTTCCACAGCAGTCATTTCCACCACTCTGTCTTTCAGCTCACTTATCTGTTCTTCTGCCTCATTTATTCTACTATTTATTCCTTCTAGTTTATTTTTCATTTCAATTGTACTGTTCAGCTCTGTTCTTTAAATCTTCTAGCTCTTTGACACCCATTTCTTGTGTCTTCTTTCTTGTTCCTCCATTCTTTTTCTGATATTTTGGATCATCTTCATTACTCTGAATTCTTTTTCAGGTAGATTGTCTATCTCCACTTCACTTAGTATTTCTTCTGGGTTTTTATTTTGTACCTTCTTCTGGAACGTATTTCTCTGACATCTCATTTTATCTAATTTTCTGTGTTTGTGGTCTCCTTTCTGCAGGCTGCAGGACTGTAGTTCCTCTTGCTTCTGGTATTTCCCCCCACCCCCCGGTGGATAAGGCTGGTCTAAGAGGCTTGTGCAGGCTTCCTGGTTGGAGGCACCGGTGCCTGCGCACTGGTGGGCAGAACTGTGTCTTGTCCCTCTGGTGGGCAGGGCCGTGTCAAGGGGTGTGTCTAGAGGTGGCTGTTGCCTCAGGTGGAGTTTATACAGCCTGTCTGGTGATGGGTGGGGCTGTGTTCCCACCCTGTTGGTTGTTTGGCCTGAGGCACTGGGCTGTTGGGTGAGGCCAGGTCTTGGTGTCCAAATGGCAGCCTTTAGGATAGCTCATGCCAGTGAGTACCCAGTACCTCTGTCACCAGTGTCCTTGTCCCTGCAGTTAGCCACACGCCCCCCCCCACCTCCCCAGGGGACCCTCCAAGACCAGTACGTAGGTCTGGCCCAGGCTTGTATGAAGTCACTTTTTTTACCCCTGGGTCCCAATGCTCATGAGACCTTGTGTGTGCCCTCCAAGAGTGGCCTGTTTACCCCAGTCCTGTGGCATTCC